GCCATATTAAAAAAAGGAACCGTCCTCAATCCGTGAAGCGTTTGCAATTTTTAAGAACGAATGTACGCGGCGCCGAGACGAGAGACACATTTTGAAAGCGGGTTATCCTCAACCAGTGAAGCTCTTGCAATGTTTTAGAACGAATGTGCGCGGCGCTGAGGCGAGAGCCACATTTCGAAAACCGCCCGCCCTCCATCTGTGAGACGGTTGCACATTTTTAAGCTTCAGCATCATAAATGGTGAGGAAGCCTCAGGCGAAACGCCCGGCCCGCCCGAAAAACTGGCGTCGGGGTGCGACAGGGAAAAGTTACCTATAAGGAAGAGGAATGGCGGAAGAGGAGGAGGAGGAGAAGGAGGAGGATGAGGAGGATCTTTTTTGAACTTTTTGCGCAGCACGGCGTGCAGAGAAAATAATAGAGGAGGAAAAGATGGTGAGAGCCTCGGCGGTCGGGCGAAGGAGCCGCACGCTCCGACCTGCAAGCAGCCCCAGCTATAACCACCGCTCGTTCTCTCTCTCTCTCTTTCTCTCTCTCTCTCTCTCTCTCGAGGAGGAGGAGGAGGAGGAGGAGGAGGAGGAGGAGGAGGAGGAGGAGGAGGAGGAGGATGAGGAGGAGGAGGGGCGGGGGGAGGGGGAGGGGGAGGGCTGTCGAGGTCAGCTTGGCACAAGCGATCTAGCTCCTTTCCGACCTGCCCTCTCATGCCCCTGGTCGCTCTCCTGACCTCCTCGCGCGTGAGAGGAAGGGCCGCTTCCTCCTGGGCCTTGGCGCGGGTCCTGGAAAAAAGCTGGCTGACCACCTGGATGTCAATGTTCTTCTTGGAAAGTCAGCGCTGATGTCAGTGCGTGGTCTTTGTGTGGACCACGTCCTTGGGATGAAAAATAGTACCTGCCTTGCCGTCATCGATCTCGCAACTGACATTGGACGAAGGTTTGGTTGCCTTTTACAAAAGCAAACCAGTTTTCTCATTGTACACCACACATTTCTTTAAATCGCGTAAAGAGCTGCTGATCGCTTTGGTGCGTGCTCGTCGGGCGATAGCCTCCATCTCGTCACGGGCTGCTTGCAACGCATCCAGAGTATGGTCGCCTGGCCTCGCCAAAAACTGCTGCAACCATTGCTGTCGTGTAGTGGATGTCGTGAGTTTGCCCGCACCCCTGTGACAACTGTCTTGGTACGGTCCAACAAACTTGAGAGCTGCCGGTGCCAGCGTTAGCACCTTCTTGCCCCCATTCTGTTTGGTGACATGATGCGTGACTTGACGGATGATGGCGTGCGCCCGTGCCTGCCAGTTGGCCGCCACATCGTAAAAAGGCATGTCTCTCTGAAGTGCGTGCTGTCCTGGGCTTGGTGCACCTCGAGCCTGGGTCCACCCGCGCGGGTGGGCTTGGTGGAATCCTGATCCTGACCGTGATGCCACCATGTGCATTTCTCAACAGCGTCGATCCGTCCAGCAAACACTCCGCTGACCGATAACATATGTTCGCCTCCAGTCTGATACGCTGTGGACTCGCGAACTTGCCTCCAAGCATCCTGCTCCGCGCGCGTGTGACTGCCCGAACAGGCTCGAGCCAAACGCCAAGTGGAAGCAGGAATGGAGAAAGACGGGCCAGCATGGGCATCGGCACTGGAGTGGGATTGGTCGGGAGAGACCCTGTGCTGCACGTCAGACTGTATGGGGGGGGGGTCGGGGTCTCGCTCGGGGAGGTCCTTAAATCGTTCCCAGGATTAAACGAGGAGAACCCCTCATCATCCAAGGAATTCGCGGCAGGGGGTCTCCGACGAGGGACGGGCAGACCTTTTTCCTCAGTCGCAGCGACGTTGGCAGCGGGCTGAACTTTGGGCTCGTCAGCCCATGGAATGCCATTCGTGGCTTTCTCTGGTGGCGAGGCGGTGGGGGCACTGGGCGGGGTGGCGGGCTCCTGCTCGCTTTGGGTGGCAGGCGGTCCCGAGTTGCCGACCTCCTCCCGATACCAGAGATCTCCAAACAACATCTCGGACCGCCCAACTTGATTTTGAAACGGAATAGCCCGCTTGGTGGCCAGCTCCTGCTTGGCCCTAGAGGGTTTGCTACCCGCCAGAGGGGCCGCTTGGGGGCGATCCACCCGCGGAAACCTTTCGACAAGGCGCAACGAGCGAGTGCTGAGCTGGGCCCCAGAGCTGCGGAGCTGAATAGCAATGCAAGTGTGTGGCCGCCAAGGAACATCTAGCACAGCGTGGAGGTCTACAACGTAGGGCACGGCGGCGGGGGAAGCGAGAGCGTAGTCCATGTGCGAAGCACCCTGAGCGCTGATGCACGTGGACTCAATCGGAGCCCTCAAAATCGTGGCCCCCATTTTCTCGACCAAACCCGAAGAGACGAGAGTGGGGGCAGGGATTTGAAACCCCCTATCTCAATCCAGGGAAACTGTAGCGAACATAAGACACTGCCGAGCTTCGAGAACCTACCGATGTTATCTCAAGTGTAGCCCAGAGACGAGTGCCCATAGCAAATCACAACGACTAGACTATAGCCCTGTTGGCGGATAACTACCAGCAAACACCCATCCAGCATGTCACATCCGTCCGAACAAAGCCCTCCTAGCCCGCCGAGATGGCGTGTGAGATGATGTACCTGGCGATGGCCTTGGGCGAGGAAAAGTTCGCCTCCTTCGTTTGCATGGGAGGTGCCAGCAATAGTTGTGCACGTCTTGCCCGAAGGTCTGGCTGGGTTAGCGAACGACTTGAATTTGGCAGCACGAAACTTGGTAGTCCAGTCTTTCTCTGATCCAGCACACACATGCGTTTCACGACCAAAATATTTGAAAACATTGCGCGAGTGCAGCTCCTGAATATAACTCCAAGGCTTCTTGACAATAATAGTGATGTTGACGAACACGCTGGGCGACTGCGATGTAGAAGCGGCATGCGGGTCATCTCTCACCGCCGATGCTGTGTGTGATGAGAGTGTTCCCCCCTCGTTGTGCGAGACCGCCTGAACGGGGGAGGGGCTGCAATCGCTTGCTGCCCGTCGAGTTGGCGGCAGCACCGACGCCTGCATCACCGCCTGCCGTCTTGAGTGCAGCTGACGTGGTAGCCGTCCGTGTGGCCGCCTCCTTCGCAGCTCTGATTGATGACGTGCTCCTTGGCTTGCTTACCCTGCGGCCGGCAATCCCGCCCCGCTGCCGCTGGGCCCCTCGCCGGGCGCGGTTGCCTGGGGGGCGCCCTCTGGCTCGGAAGCTGCTGCCGTGCCGCCGTTGCTCTTCCTCTGCTTGGCCATGCGATCGGCCACTTCCTGCTTCGTGGCCGTGGCGTGCTCCTTCCACGCGGTCGGTGACCTGCTCGCTGGCGGTGTTGATCTGGCTCCGCGCGGAGAGGAAGCTTGTGCGCAACATCTTGAGCTCGTCTCGCTCGTGAGCTTAGCACTCGGACTCACCACTCTCAACCTGTTTGAAACAAACTCTTCATCCCATTGGAACTCTGCAAAGGCCTGCCTGTCCGCGTGAGAAGGAACTGGTGACTCGGCATCGTCTGGGAGTACTGCGGATGCTAGCGCCTTGGCGGCGATCCTGCGGGAGATCTCCGCCTGCGCCAGCACCCTGATGGCCTCGTTCCTCTTCTCAATCGCGCGGGCCAGTTGGTCACGAATCCGAGCCACTTACAGACAGGCTTGTTCGTGCTTGGAACTGGCGTCTTTCCAGGCTCCTTCTGCTCTGCGAACTGCCTCAGCTGGCGAGGGTACATCTGGCTTGGCGGAGGGGTCCTTCTCGAACATCTGCAGCAGCTGCAAGAGAGCCTGCTTGACTACTATGTCGGAGGTGGAGCTGGGCATGGCGGTGAGCATGTGCTTGCAGGCCTGCTGGGAGCCCTGCGCGCTAGTGCCCTTGCCCTTGCCCTTGTCCTTATTCTTGTCCGACAGGAGCTTGAGCTGCAAGGAATCCTCCCCACCGGTGCTGCCCTTGCCAGAACGTTTACTTCTATAGAACGTGATGATGGAATTGCACCTATGGCCCCGACAGTCCCTGGACTTGAGGATTTCGTTCCACTCCGTGGTGTGACATTTCCAGCACTTGGACCATTCCCGCGCCATGGTGTCGGGCTATGTGAATCCGCCCCGCTTTCGCCGCCCAGAGCGACTGGCAACTAGAGACCAGGAGTCTGGGCGCTCATCAAGCACCATGTGAAGGCGCGGGGCTCTGGTTGCGAGCTGCAGAATGCGTGCTCGAACCAGAAGCGCTTGAGTTGGAGGAAGACGAAGAAGGGGAGAAACTGGAGGAGGGAGGTGGGCGAAGGAGGAGAAGGACGAGGAGGCGGAGGAGGGCGGAGGAGGAGGATGACGAGGGCGGAGGAGTTGGAGGAGGAGGAGGAAGAGGAAGAGGAGGAGGAGGAGGAGGAGGAGGAGGAGGAGCAGGGCGGAAGGAAAAGGAGCGGGTGGAGCGGGGAGGGCGAAGAAGGAGGAGGAGGAGGAAACGGAGGAGGAGGAGGATGAGGAGGAGGAGGAGGAGGAGGAGGACCAGGAGGCGGAGGAGGCGGAGGAGGAGGAGGAGCAGGAGGAAGAGGAAGAGGAGGAGGAGGATGGAGGAGGGAGGGGGCCGTAAAGGTCCTGATGTGCCTCATTGTGGGCTTGTTGGGGCCCTCGTTGGCAATCTTGCGGTTTTGAACCTCCCCGAGGCCGTCTTTGGGGGAAACTCTTCGGAAGTATGCTGGCCCAGGCATCTTTATGTTTTCTATCTGTTGTTCAACGTGTTGGGCCTCCCATGGCACTGCCGGAGGGCTTCTCGGGCGCCTCTTCGATGCTTATTGAGGCCTGCTGGTGCCTCCTGGGGACCTCTTGAGGCTTCTGGGGCCTTGGGCTGTCGCACGCAGGTCGTTCAGGCACCTCGCAGCCGTCGTGGGGAAGTCCTGGGCCGCCTTTGGGGCCGCCTTTTGGCCGTAGTGTGCCCGACAGGGGCGCCAGGAAGGGACCGGCAGAGGGGCGCCTGGTGCCGGGATCGGGCCGGCGAGCGGTGCCCGCGGTGCCCCGAGGCTGCATCATCGTGGCGGGGGGCTACGACGACCGGATGCGGGACCACGACACGGTGGGGTCGGTAGCAAATCACGTGAGGAGGCTTCTGGGTCCTATAGGAATTCGGTCTTCGGAGTGCATCAGCGTGGGGAAGCGTCCGGCAGTCGATGGGAGAGCGCCGATTCAGCGTCGATGCGCATCGATTTAGCGTCGAACAGCGTCGAGCAGCGTCGATTCGCGTCGGCCAGCGTCGACTCGCAAGAGCTAGCATGATTACATGGGATGCTCCCATGATCTAGGCCTCGGTAGATGGGGTCCAGGTAGATGGGTCGGAGGATCACGCCGCATCGCCGATGCATCGGCGATGTGGCTCGATGTTGACCTCGATTTTCTCCACGCCAGAGCCGCCGATGCAACGCCGACGTCGCCGATACATGCTCGATCCTCCGACCCCATCTGCTCGGACCCTATCTCGGCGGCCCCCATGAGTTGCCACAGAAGGTGGAGAGCCTTGACCCGACCCGGCCGAGCGCCTGGGAGTCCATCTCCGTCCTCGCGGTGCCCCGCTGGGGCGTGCGGGCGGTGGGCAGAGCAGGCGCCTACTAGCGCGTGGGGGCGCGCGCGGGAGCGTCTCACGTCCTCGTTGTCGTCGTCGTCGGCGTCATCCTCGTTGTCGTGGTCTTCGTCGTCGTCGTCGTCGTCGTCGTCGTCGTCGCGGTCGTCGTCGTCGTCGTCGTCGTCGTCGTCGTCGTCGTCGTCGTCGTCGTCGTTGTCGTCGTCGTGGTGGTTGTCATCGTGGTCATCCTCGGCGTCGGCGTCGTCGTCGTCGTCGTCGTGGTCGTCGCCCTCGCGGTCGTCGTTGCCGCCGTCCTTGTCGTGTTCGTCCTTGTCGTGGTTGTCGTCGTCGTCGTCGTCGTCGTCGTCGTGTTTCTTTCACCGACCCGAGTTGTCACGGGCATGTCGTTTCGGTGAAAGTTGCGCGTGTACGATACGCGGGGATGTGCGCCCGCTAGGTGCCATCTACGTCGTCGGCGGGCACACGCGAGACGGAGAGGTGGGCTCCGCGGGGCGACTAGATCCCGCAACTGGCTCGTGGACATCGCTCGCACCGCTGCGGGCACCTCGGCGGTCGTTTGGCCTGGCAGCGGTCCGTGGATAGCGCCAGCGGAGGAAACGGAGCCCGCTCTCGCCCCATCCGCGCTTCTGCCGAG